CATCTGGGAGGCTGTGGTCACCCTGTGTCTCCCTGGGGACCAGAGGGAATTGTGGGCCTGGCTGGGTGGGGCTGGGAATATGGCGCCCAGGACAGAGAGCCTTTCACCAAGCCAGGGTGGGTCCAGCCATCAAGGCAGCCTTCCAGGGTGGCTGGAGAGTCCTGTGGTTGGAGCCCTACAGAGGGGGAGAAGGGGGCTGCAAGCTGGGAGTGGAATGTGGAAGATCCAGAGGCTAGGGACCCTCCAAGGTCACTTAGCCTCCCTGCAGTGAGGCTGGGGCTCCAAAGTGGGTTGTCACCCTGCTTTGAATGCCACCATGAGCACTTAGATTTGGGGAATCATATCTCCTCCCCAGCAGTGGCCATGCGAGACTCACAGCAGGTACTCAGGGCGGGCACTGGGTGGTGGGAGAAGCATGGGCCAATGTGGTTAATCCCAACTTCCCAATAAGGAAATGGAAATAGAAAGACTGGGACACCTGCGTGAGGTCAGCAGCTCTTTGGAGTCCAGCTGGCACTAGAAACCAGGCCTCCTGCCTCCTGTCCATGGTCCCAGGAGAGGGGCACACAGGGAGCCTCCCAGCTGAGGGAGTGTTAGTCTGGGTACTTGCCCTTCTTCAGGGACACCAGGAAGGTGCTTCCGAGAGCAGTTGAAGAGGGCAGGGCCCTGTGCCGAATGACCTCAGCAAGTCGCCTACCTCTCTTGGCCTCTGGCAGCCTATCTGGAAAATGGGCCACATGGATGCAGGGCACAGAAATATGGTTTCTCCAGAATGCTCCAAAGTCTCAATTTTCCTGTCCTGGGGCACACCTGTTCCTGCACGAACCAACAACAACAGATGTGTTCATCCCTCTGGGTCACTAACCATGACCCTGACGCTCCCTTGGTATCCCCTACCCTGTCTGTCTCTGGGCCCAGGGCACCCCTGCCTGCCTGAATGGGACCATATCCTGTGCTGGCCGCTGGGGGCACCAGGTGAGGTGGTGGCTGTGCCCTGTCCCGACTACATTTATGACTTCAATCACAAAGGTGAGGCCTGCGGGAGGGGTGGGGATCACAGGGAGCCGAGACTTGGAGCTCAGGGCTTCAGGGGCTCCAGACCTCCCTACCTGCCCTGACCTCCCATGGACCTGCAGGCCATGCCTACCGACGCTGTGACCGAAATGGCAGCTGGGAGCTGGTGCCTGGGCACAACAGGACGTGGGCCAACTACAGCGAGTGTGTCAAATTTCTCACCAATGAGACTCGTGAACGGGTGAGAGTCGTTCTCCTCCCCAACCTGATCTGGATAAATTCACTCCCATCCCATGGGTGACCCCTGACCCAGCCCTGACCTAACCTCGGTCCCTCGGGCAACCTTACCCTGGCCTCTTACTCTTACCCTGATGCTCGCCTTGGCTCCGGGGGATCTGACTGTGTCTCCCCCCGCACAGGAGGTGTTTGACCGCCTGGGCATGATCTACACTGTGGGCTACTCTGTGTCCCTGGCGTCCCTCACCGTAGCTGTGCTCATCCTGGCCTACTTTAGGTAGGCGGGGCGAGGGCGGGGCGAGAGGCGGTGGGGCGTGGTCGGGGGGGCCGAGGTCTGATGCGACCCCCTCCCTGCACCCGTCACCCCTGGCGGGCGTCCCTACCTACTGCGAACAGCCCAGCTTCCTGCCCACCTGCCGCGCGTGCCCGTGCCCCCACCCACGGTGATGTCGCGCGCCCCGCAGGCGGCTGCACTGCACGCGCAACTACATCCACATGCACCTGTTCCTGTCCTTCATGCTGCGCGCCGTGAGCATCTTCGTCAAGGACGCGGTGCTCTACTCGGGCGCCACCCTCGATGAGGCTGAGCGCCTCACCGAGGAGGAGCTGCGAGCCATCGCCCAGGCGCCCCCGCCGCCCGCCGCCGCCGCTGCCGGCTACGTGAGTGCCCGTCCGCCCGCCCGCTCCCGGTGCCGCTGCTGGCCTGGTGGGGCGCCGCCCCTGCCCTCCAGCCTGGCCCTCGCCCTGCCAGTCTCCTGCCGGCGCCACTAGCTTCAGCCACTCAAACCCGTCTCACAAAGGTCCCTCACGACCCTCAGCTCTGCCGCCAGCCCTGCTGCCAAGGGCTCCAAGTCTCCAGACGCCCCGAGCTGCCATCAAGGCTCCTGCCTCAACCTAGTCTCCCCAGCCACTCCGCCTCTTCACTTGCCTCCTGCCCCTGAAACCTCACCCCGCTGAGAGATCTACCCCAGCAGAGCCTGCCCCTTCCTGGCCTGCATGGGCCAGCACCACTTGTCCCCTCCCACCGCCCCAGCCCCCAGCCCAGCCCGGACTTCCTGGAGGCAGGCCCTGCCCTCTGGCTAACACCAGCTGGTCTCCTAGGCGGGCTGCAGGGTGGCTGTGACCTTCTTCCTTTACTTCCTGGCCACCAACTACTACTGGCTTCTGGTGGAGGGGCTGTACCTGCACAGCCTCATCTTCATGGCCTTCTTCTCGGAGAAGAAGTACCTGCGGGGCTTCACGGTCTTCGGCTGGGGTACGCGGGCGCAGTGGGCAGTGAGGCGAAACGGGTGGACTGTGGGCGGCAGGGAGAGGGCAGCCCCTGGGGGGAGGCGCCACACAGCACATCCCACCCCAGGTGGAACACCAGGAGAGAGGCCTGCTGCCCTTCTGTGACTCTGACCCTGTTCCAGGCTCGGAACAGGACTTGCCAGCAGTCAGGTTCACCTGGGGTCAGATTCACCTGAAGTTGAGGCTCAGCCCAGGAGAAGGGGAGGAGGAACCATTAGGCCAAGATTCAGCTCAGGATCAGAGTAGGATATTGGGTCAGAGGTCAGCCTGGGGCTGGAATTGGGATCTGGGACCCTTCCTCCACCCTGAGTCTCATAGACTGGGCCAGCATCTATTACCCCACCAGTCGCCCTGATGGGATGGGGTGGGGGACTGCCCACACCATTGCCAGCCTCAGCAGGCCTGCGGGGTCCATGACCCAGAGCTGTGGGCCCGGCCCCTCAGCATTGCCTGGGCTTCACAGCCCCTCTGCAGAATGGGTTGCTAGAGCCGAGCATTCCTCCCAGCCCCCCACTGGCTCTGGGATCCAGTTACCGATAATTGTCCATTATTGTTGGCAGCTGCAGAGCTTGGCTGGGCTCCGGGGCAACTGGCCAGGCTGCAGAGGGGTGGGCCGGGTGGCTGGAGCCCTCTCCGCACTCAGCACCCAGAGGCCCACAGGTCCACAAACACTGCCTTCCTGCCCCTTGGCGTACATCCTGACCCTGACCTCACCATGAAAAGCCCCAGAGTTGAGGAGACCTGGGCCCAGTCCCAGAAACTAATGCAGGCTCTGGGGCTGGGAGGTGTCTGAGTGGGCTGGAGACATGCAGATTGGGAATGCATAGAACCTGGGGGCACAGGAATGTCACAGCTCTTCTTCCTGCCATAAATCCAGGTCACGCCCTGTCCCTCCAAGGGTGCACCAGGCCTAGAATCAAGTTGGTGATGTGTGGTGGGGAGGGCCTGGGGCTCCCTTCCCAGAAGCACAGCTCACTCAGAGATACCATGTGCCCCTTGAGTTGGCACAGGCCAGGACACACTGACTTCCCTGTGGCCTCTGCTTGGGACAAAACCTCCCACCCCATCCAGTCTCACCCATGAGGGCTAGGACCTTTCAAACCAGGGGTGCTGTGCTGGGGCAAAAATAATGCAGATAATCGGCCCCCTCCCCATGGGAGCTGCAAGTCCAAAGCAGCGCCCACTGCAGGGGAGTGGACAGCGCATGGTCAGTTAGTGATACCTTATTATTACATTATACCGTGTACCCCACCTGTGTGCATATGACACAGAGCCAAGATGGGGACAGGCTGAGCTGGGTTTTGAGGGCTGGAGCCCCAAGGAGAGGCGGTTAAGGCAGCACACTCCAGAGTGTGGCTCTGTCCCCAAGTGGCCCAGGTGCCCAGGGGGAGGGGGTCAGGGCAATGGTGGGGTAAGCTGGGCGTCATAAAGGATGAGGGAGGGTGACCTTGTGGACAGCAGCCACAGCCCCGCACACTGTCCCCCTCTATGCCCGCAGGTCTGCCCGCTGTCTTCGTGGCTGTGTGGGTCAGTGTCAGAGCTACCCTGGCCAACACCGGGTAGGTCCAGGTGGAGAAGGGGCCCAGGCAAGAAGCCCCCTGGGTCCCTTTTCTTCCAGGAAGCATGTGAGAGGGCCTCCTGTACCCTGGCCTCAAATGGCCCAGCCTCAGGGGTTCTCAGTCCAGCCTCCAGCCAGGGCCCCCCTCAGGGTCATAGGAGGCTAATTCCAAAGAGGCCTGTGAGGGCGGCCTCAGGCCTGGCCACACCCAACCCCCCTGCCCTGCGTCCTCAACAGCAAATGTCAGACCAGATCAACTCTGGGCCTCTTCGGGAAGGCTCAGGATGGGCACGGGCAGGATGGGCGCTAAGGCCTCAACCTCCCCCAGGTGCTGGGACTTGAGCTCCGGCAACAAAAAGTGGATCATTCAGGTGCCCATCCTTGCCTCCATTGTGGTGAGTGGGGTCGGGGGGAGGCTGCTGGCCACAGGGGTGGGTGGGATATGGCCTGGGCCCCAGGGACCAGCCCCTGACAGTGACCTAGGAGGCTTCCCTGGACCCTGGTGTCAGAGCCACAGAGGCCAGAGGACCAGCCGATCCACACTCCAGCCCAGAAAGGAAAACCAAGGGCCCAGAGATGCAGTGACAGAGTAGAGCCTGTGGCCACGGCCACCAGGTCTTGCCTGCCCCCCTCCCACTCCCTGCTAGGGTGCAGTCTCCAGACGCAGCCCCTCACTCCCACAGCTCAACTTCATCCTCTTCATCAATATTGTCCGGGTGCTCGCCACCAAGCTGCGGGAGACCAACGCCGGCCGGTGTGACACGCGGCAGCAGTACCGGTGAGCCCACCCTGCCTGCCATGCCCTGGCTCCCCAGGGGTCACTGAGTCCCGGTACCATGTACCCCAGGAAGGACAGGCCTGGGGCAAGGGAAGGACCCAGCATCTGACTGTCCCCACTCACTTGGCCAGCCCCAGGCCCCGGCCTGCCCAGCATTGATGGGAGGCCCTAGGGGTACCCAAGGCCAGCTGTCTCCCGCTTGGTACCAGGCCCCGCACTAGAGTCTGCGAGGGTGGGACGAACTTGAACATCTCCTCAAAGAGGTGGTTGTGGGGAGTCTGAGGAGCAGAAGCAGGTAGAGCGTGGGTGGCCCAGGAAGGTTGCAGCTCAGCTGAAACCCGAGGAGTGGGCCATGGGATAGTGAGGTAGAGCCGTGGAGGGGAGTGCGTGCCAGCTGAGGGCTCGGCAGGTGTGAAGGGCCCGGGGCCTGGGAGACTGTCATTTGAGGTGCACTCTGGGACACCACTGAGAACCAAGGGGCCCTATTAGCACTTGGCTAGGAGAGCAGCCAGCAGGTGAACTGGGCTGTCCTCCCATGGTGACCGGAGTCCTGGGCTCCTTTGTGCTTCCGGAGCCTGGGGCTGGCAGGGCGGGGGGTGGCACGGTGCTTGTTGAAGGGGAAGGGGCTTGGCCCTGACCCACCTGCCCCACCGGCCCAGGAAGCTGCTCAAATCCACGCTGGTGCTCATGCCCCTCTTCGGCGTCCACTATATTGTCTTCATGGCCACACCATACACCGAGGTCTCAGGGACGCTCTGGCAAGTCCAGATGCACTATGAGATGCTCTTCAACTCCTTCCAGGTGCGCAGTGCCGGCCCGGGCCTGGCTGAGGGTGGGAGGGGCGCCGGGTTCAGGCCCTGATTCCAGCCACCTCTCTTCACAGGGATTTTTTGTTGCCATCATATACTGTTTCTGCAACGGCGAGGTAAGCAGGAGACAGTGTTGGCACAGGGCAGGGAGGGGCAGATGTCCCAGAGGCCTCCTCAAGGCCTGTCCCTCCATTCTCCCACCGTGTCATTTCTTCCTCCCTCTAAGAACACCCCTGCAGACACGCTGAAAGCAGAGAAGTCTTGCCAGATGGTGCGAGCTCAGGGTGTGCTAGGATTTGGGGACTTTTCAGTCACTGGCATAGCCATGTCTTCCCAGCCCCATGATTGAAATCTCTGCAACCCAGATTGGAGGACTCAGCCACCTTTGGGGCAATTCGAGTCTCGTAGATTCTGGATGTGTCAGTTGCCTGCAGCCAAGCACCCTGTTCTGAGGATGGGATTTCACTTGGCCTTAGAGTTTCCCAGGAGTCCCCTATTCCCGTTTTCATTCTGTGCTGGGTGTTCAGGGGCGCGGATGGGCCATCGCTGGGGTTGGGAGACACACCTGACTGCTGCGCCTCTACCACCCCAAGGTACAAGCTGAGATCAAGAAATCTTGGAGCCGCTGGACACTGGCACTGGACTTTAAGCGCAAGGCACGCAGCGGGAGCAGCAGCTACAGCTATGGCCCCATGGTGTCCCACACAAGTGTGACCAACGTCGGCCCCCGTGTGGGACTCGGCCTGCCCCTCAGCCCCCGCCTGCTGCCCGCTGCCACCACCAATGGCCACGCTCAGCTGCCTGGCCATGCCAAGCCAGGGGCCCCAGCCCTGGAGGCCCTCGAGACCACACCACCTGCTGTGGCTGCTCCCAAGGACGATGGGTTCCTCAACGGCTCCTGCTCAGGCCTGGACGAGGACGCCTCTGGGCCTGAGCGGCCACCCGCCCTGCTGCAGGAAGAGTGGGAGACAGTCATGTGACTGGGCCCAGGGGTGGGGCCTGCTGCCATGGTGGATGGACAGATGGACCAAAAGATGGGTGGTTGGATGGTTGCCCACTCAGGGCTGGGGCTGAGAGAAAAAACAGAGGAAAAAAAAAGAAAAAGGAAAAGGAAGCGGTGTGTGGCTTCCTGTGGCCCAAACTGGGGACTCACTCCAAGGGGGGTGGGGCTGGGAGCCAGGGAGAGCTGAGGGAGCAGGGGGAGGGCCATGAGTCATGGAGGAGTCCTCAGGTCTAACTTCAGGAGGGGGAGGGCTCTCGGGCCTGTGGTATCATCCAGCAGAAAGGGCCCAGAGAGGCTGAAATCTGCAAGGGAAACACAGCAGCCAAGTGGACCCGTGTGGCATGTCCGGCCTCAGCCTCCCTCCACCACGGCTGCCAGCTGTGGAGCTGCTCTCCATACTCGAACCTAGGCCCCATGGAGACCCAGGCTCCTCTAGGCCAACTCTTCTGCCTGCTGGCCACCCAGGGCTGTCGGCAGACCCCTCAGGTCCCTGGCCACACCCCCAGGCCTGCGGCCCTGCCACGGAGTGGACCTTTCCTGGCTGTCCCGGGGCCGTTCAGGGAGCCCTCCATGCGGGAGCCTCAGCATCCACTCCCGACCTGACGTGCCTCAGTGACTGAGGTTGCAGGAGGAGCACCAGGGCCAGCAGGTGAAGGGTGGGCTGGGTCCCTGCTCTGGCTCAGGACTTGTGGGGAGCCAGGTGTCCGAGCCCAGAGGGCCGGCTGGGCAGGGGCCTGCAAAATTGGACACATCCACTCACTATTCATCTGGTATAGTCACTAAGTGTCCTCATCTGACACCCACTTACCACCTTACTCCCCTCTCCCACTTTGGCCGTTCGTGGCCCCAGAGTGGCATAGAGCCCCTTGGCCCAACCCCTGAGGACTGATTGTATGGTGTGCCCACCCCAGGCTTCTTGCTCTTGCTCCAGCCTGAAGACGGCCCTGCCTCCAGGCCGCTGCACGAGCCAGCCCTACCTTCCCATCTCCCCCTCAGCCCACCTTGCTCTTCTCCATGGACTCACCATCCAGCAGTGCCCCCCCATCTCCAGCAGCCCACACACACCCTCTGAGGAATAGGGGAGGGGTCAGGAGGCCCAAGACAAAAAACTCAGGTGGGTGTTAGGTGGTGTGCGCACATGCTGAGCAGCCTCAGGCCCAGCCCTCCCTGCCCTGTCCAAGGGCCTGGTGTACCTGTGGAGCTCCATGCAGCGGCTAGGGGAGCATAGGCCAGTCTTGAAGGGCTGCTGAGCCAGGCTGGGAGCCACTGGAAGTTCAAGAGGGAGAGCAACAAAGTCTGAATGTTTTAAAAAGTCCCCACATTGAGGCGGGTGGATCACGAGGTCAAGAGATCGAGACCATCCTGGTCAACATGGTGAAACTCTGTCTCTACTAAAAATACAAAAAATCAGCTGGGCATGGTGGTGTGTGCCTGTAATCCCAGCTACTCGGGAGGCTGAGGCAGGAGAATTGCTTGAACCCAGGAGGCGGAGGTTGCAGTGAACCGAGATTGCGCCATTGCACTCCAGCCTGGGTAATAAGAGGGAAACTCCATCTCATAAAAAAAATAAATAAATAAAATAAAAATAAAAATAATAAAAAATCCCCACAACCATGTGGAGACCAGAGGAGGCTGCACAGGGGTTGGGGAAGAGGTGGCCTGGCAGGGAGATGGTGACAGGGAGAGGGAGGGGCTGTTGTCAGGAAGGACCCTGCGTGAGGTGCTGGCTGGGGGAAGGAGACCTCAGCAGGGCGGACCCCCAACCTCCTCCCCAGGGATGTCCCATGCCGCTCTCCAAGGTCTGAACGGGAGGTTTCTGAATAAGCCCACGAGCCCCACTCACCTGGGAACATTCAGACTGGGCACCCCCCACAGGGCTGTGGCTTCCCTCTCAGGCTGAGTGCCCCCCAGGTGGAGGTGGGCTCTCCTCTCAGACTGGATTCCCTCTAGGACAGGGTTTGGCCTCTTCCTACAACCAGGGACCCCTGATCCCCACCCACATTCCAGGACAGGGTTGTGTCTCCCTGCTCAGCCTGAGTACCCCAAGGTCAGGGTCAAGCCTCTGTCTCAGATAGAGTGCTCCCCAGGGCAGAGGTGCACCTGTCCTCTGCCCTACTGGGTAACCTGGAGGACAGGGCTATCTCCCCCATTAGACTGGTCACCACCTTCCCTTGAGATGGAACTCCCCTCCAGATAGACTTGTCCTTCCCCTTTGAACTAACATCCCCGGGGCATGCTGGGTACCCCCACCTCAGGTTTGGTGTCCCCAGGCCAGGGCCAGGCCTCCCACACCAGCTAGTTGCCTCCTAGAGGAGGACTGCCCTCCCCCAAGGATATCTGCACCCAGGACAATGCCAGGCCTCCATCTTTGGACTGGGCACCATTTTCCCCTCCGTCTGCATGTCCAGGACAGGACTGGACCTCTCACCTCAGTCCAAGTCCCCTAGGCCAGGACCAGGTCTCCCCGTTTAGGCTAGGGGCCCCCAGGCCAGGGCTGGCCTCCATTCGCAGAGGCCTCTGAGCCCCACCTGGGCCATCCAGGTATTGGCAGCAGAAGTGGAGCGCTCAGCACACCTGGCAGGCAGGCAGGACACTGTTTGCCTTGAGCAGGGGCTGGATCCAGGTGGTCACTTCTCCCTTCAAGGCCCCACAGCGAAGCCAAGCCACAGGGAACATGTAAACATCAGCAGAGCTGGGCGGGGGCGTCAGCAGAGAGGAGGGCACCTGGAGACCCCAACTCCTCCGCCTCCTTGGCTATGGGATCCAGCACCTCTCAGGCAGCTCCAGACTCCTGAGGGCAGGCCAGTACAGTGGCCAGGTCCTGTTCCACCTGTCTTCAGCATGTGTACGGCCCCACCCATTGATGGCCTGTCTCCCTCAGCCCAGGCTGCCAGAAGGATCGCTGAAGCCCCTTGGAAGGAATGGACTTCCTGGGGGCACTAGTCTAGCCCTGGAACACAGGCCCAGCCTCAAGGGGAAGCTAGTGGGTGCAAAGCTCCCAGCTTAGAATAGGGTCAAGCTCTGCCACCCCCCATCTGCCAGCCCCTTTCAAGAGCAAGGACAGAGCTAGGCCCCACGTCCCTGGAGTGGGTGGGCTGTGAGGGTCCACACTCTTCAGCCCTCACCCTAGGAGGTGGCCAGAGGGAGCGTGGACAGACAGGCAAGGGGGCTGAGTTCTCTGGAGGTTCAAGAGGGACATGACCCTGTCCCTCTCTCCGTGGGGTCTTCGAGGACACAGCCCTAGTCAGGGGGTCTGAGGGGACATGGACCTATCCTGGGGATCTGAGATTGCACTGGCTCTGCGTGGACTGCGAGAAGAGCCGTCTGGCTGTCGGGGCCCATTGGGGGGTGCTGGGGTGAGGGGGTGCAGCTCCCTGCCCCTGGTGCCTCCTCAGCCAATGCCAAGAGAATGATCCCACCCTGAGGCTGCCACGGCCAACTGAAACAAACCTTGCCTGAGGGATGGGTCCCACTGGCTGGGAGGGACAGAGGAGGAAGGGACTCCAAAGCTGGGCAGGGGC